GTCAGGGCTGTGGGCATCACCGCCTCATTTCGAACGCTATTACTATATCATGGACGAGTTGTCCACCTTACCGGCAAGGGAGCAATGGAAAAGAGCCATAAATAACGGAGTAAACATCTACATGCTAAGCTGTCGAGCACAACAGCCCTAACAGTAGGAAGCAGTTCCACTGTCATTCAGAAAACTGATGATTCGACTTCGTTCCCTCTATGAATCAATCTGTCCCTTTACGAATCATTCATTTTTTTCGATAGCAAACTGGCACTGGCGCATCCCAAGGAGTGAAGCCAGCCAATATTCTGCTTCTCAGCAATCCCCAGAAAAAGGAGCCTTCGACAGTCCTGCCCACATTTGGCTGCTAATGGCACTTGCTTTTGCCTCATCTATTTCCATTCGCCTTCGCCTCTCACGAAAGGGGGAGATGAAGGTGAATTTGTCTTTTGATATGTGCATAAAAAATATTCACAGCAACAGCAGTAAATTCAATTTTCACACCCAAGGCACGAGAAACCTTGTTTATCTCCGCAAAAATTCAGATTTAAGACATCTGGAAAAGAAAGCGCATGAAAATAAAAAAATATTTAAATATTCATACCAGTGGGCTCCTTTGCATATTGTATTTCGCTCGGGCATCCGGCGTACCAATCGCTTCAAAAGCCTTCGATAGAATTTTGAAGGATTCATCCGCTCCAATTAGAGGATTCTAAAAAGAGTGAACACTGATGCACTTCTTACACCGATGCTGCTGCTGCCTCACTGGTGAGTTTCATCGATGCATTTCAGGCAGTGCCATTCTGCTTCTCGCTGAGCTCACCGCATTTACGGCAATTCATGTAGGTTCTCTTGTGTTAAGTGGGGCCTATCATTTCATCCAGTCCACTGACTTCCCAACGCTATCATTCAATTAGAATCCAATTTGCCCAACTTTCATCCCCGCGCAGCTTAGCCCCCACATCCAATGAACAAGCGTTGCATTTGCATTTTCTGGAGAAGAGCCAACGAGCAGTCAGTCAATGATTCCCTCGCTAGAGAGTTGCCTCGAAATAAATTAATGGCCGGTTTGATATGTCAGTACCAGGAATTTTTTGAATTACTGCTATTGTCACTGACAATGTGTTTGCTGTTGTTGTTGTTATTGTTGATATGGCGAGGAAAATCTCAAGTGCAAAACAGCAATGTCAGTAAGCTAAACTAGCTGTATTATGCTTCTCAAGCAAAGAGGGAAGAAGCCATTGGCACCTTTTTCTGTGTAGTCGCTCTTGGCAAAATGCCATTGGTAGAATCACTTTCTAATATTTCCGCGTTCTACAAAGATCAAAACAGAAAAAGTTTCAACTTTTTAACTTATAAAACTTCAAAAATAATCAATTAAAGAAGAAACCTTGTCAGGATGCACTAAGACTGCCTGCCTTTTAAAATACCGCTTAATATCATCGTCGGTGCAATCGGCTCTCAATCCCAAGATAACGTAAGCATCACGACCACGACATTTCAGTATTCGCTCCATTGCTTCTTCGCCTTAACAATCCCAAAATACCCGAAAAGCATAAAAGGGACATAAAATGGAAAAAATACTGAAATGTTTACAGTAATTTCAAATGTAAATTATTTTCGGAAGTGGCAACCTTTCTGTGAAGCACGAGACCAAGTGCTACAAACCGCCAATGGCTACCCACTGAACAAGAAAATCAGTGGTCAGATGAAGACATTCAGTCAAAGTCAAAAAATCAAAACTACCTCCGTGCTCAATATGAGAAGCAGGGGCACACAGAAGTAGCTCAAGTGGTAGCAAATGCCTGCAGCAATCATGTAAATGGCATGGTCAAGAACTGCTTAGAAGGTGATGATTTTGACTTCCTGGCATGCCCCAGTACCAATGTAACACCGAAACAAGGTAAACGAATCGCAGACAGACCGGCTATTCCGTTAGTGAGGTCGAACCCTTTTTAGCAGTTCTCACTGCTCGCCTCCAGCAAATTTAGTTCATATGAAGAAAAGTAATAATTAAGAAAAACTAAGAGATAGCAAAAAAAAAAGGAAAAAGAGGAGGAGCGTTTTTACTGAACCAGTGCTCATTCCTCGAAGATTTTGGTCGAACTAGACAATTCTAAAAAGTGGTAGTGCATTTTTCAGGTGAAAACTGCCATTTCACCACCAAAAGAGGGCTTAGGCTTTTTAAATGATTAAACTTCGAGTTTTTAAAGAATTCAGGCGCAATTTTTATCTCAAAAAAGTACCTGTAGCGGGTAACTGGATATTTTCAACTAGGCCCCATGCAATAGGCTCTTTACCACTTGTCCATATCCTTTTTGCGTTAAAAACACGGATATTTACCCAAAATGATCTGTAAAATTATTTTACAAATGTACTCAGGCTTAAATACAAAAAGCTAAAATAAACAAAACGTAAAAAACCTGGGACAGTTTAGAAGAAAAAAATTAATGCTTAGTCATCATGGTCAAAGAGAATCAATGAAGCAGTGAAACACAGTCAATATCAAGGACAGCTTGGAGGGGTATTGGAGCTCAATTCACGAAAGACAACCCGGAACAGGTTATGCTTTGCCAAGTGCTCCTGTCGGAACAGCTGCTGAGTTGAAAACCCTTTCCGTGAATAAAACTAACGTCAGGATCACTAGTAAGCTGAAAACCAGATAAATGATCATTGGATAAAGCAACTGGAAATTTGATGGCCGCATGACTCAGCTCTAACTGTTAGAAACAAACCAAGAATTATATCTGAGTTAAGTATTCCAAACATATTTTGATTCCTTCCACGATACATACCTTCTCGAAGATTCAGATGTCAGAAATCTTACAAATTCACCTTCAATACCATAATCCCACCTATGGGCGAAGTTGTAATCACGGCAAAACATACTGACAAAATCATTTAGGGGAAGAATATTTCGGCGGTACCAAAAATATACACATTTAGCTTCCCTCACCAAGAATAAATGAAAAGGAACGATGGGATTTCGACTAATCAAAGTATGAAAATAAGAAAATTGTAGCGTGGATGGAACAGAGGACGAACCTAAATGCGTTCAGTGATGAATACCAGCGTCGCTGACAATTATAGATAACACTCGTATAGGTCGCCAAAACCCTTTAAAGAAACACATTACTGAGATCCACAAACGAGAAAGGAATGAGCCACTTGTGTGGCAAAGCTGACAGACAACAGATGGACGAAACCAAGAGTTATACAGTGTCCATGATTTGTTAAAAGAACGGTAGAAAAGCCAATAACTCGAACTTGCCGGGTACTGCGGATGCGCGGAAAGCATAAAATCATAGTGGAAAGAAGAATTAACTGCACAGGATCCAAATTACGAATTAGCAACTATTCTAGCTACTTCATATAAGCAATATTCAGCAACGCAACGCCTGCCAGGCATGTCTGACGCATTTGTCAGTAAAAAACAGTCTCTTTGAAGCAAATAATTCTCATGTGCTCCACACCGTGACATGCTCTATCTCCAGCTTATCAGAATCACTGCATTCATAGTAGGCAGTCAAATTATCCACGCACCGCTGCACTCCTACAGGCTTTTGTGCCTTAATTTTCCAGCTTCAGTAGTTCGGGTTCATTTAAGAATGCCAGTCTTTGAGGTATAATGGTTGAAGACACCTTCATTTGTGAAACTTACATATATATGCTGATATCCCATAACTGCATCGATATATCCGTAACAAGATTTACGATCCATTGCAAGGCGCTTTTAACAAGAGAGAACAAAAGCGACAGCGTAAAGTCTGAAAAACCGGCAGTAAAATGTGAAAAACACGAAACTTCCTCCGTATTTACTCTGTCGCAACCCGAATGGCAGCAAACCTGGTTCTCTGAACAAAAAATCGCCAAAACGACAAAGCAGTAAAGCATTCAAATCAAGTTTTGTACGAAATTCCATGCGTATGTCAGAAATCCAAGACATTTCATGACTTACTTATATAATCGGTAACTGTATTTTGACGTTTTCGCACTGAATTACGTTGCTTCCGACCACATCTCGAAGTATCGGTTGGGACCAGTTCACGTCGAACACCGGCCGTCTTTTTTACTGCTGCAAAATAATTCAGTAACCACATGAAAAATAAGTTTTTGAAGTTTTTAGAAACTTAGTTCTTTAAATAAACTGTGCAAAAATTTATAGCTAGACAAGCAGACCCTGAACTAACAGTCATTTTGAGTGTTCTGAATATATTTAATAGGAAAATACATATGTATCATTTCCTAAAAAAAGCTTTTGCAACTTACAATTCCGCGGAGCTGACAGAGTTGATTGCTTTGCTTCAATTTTATAAGAATCAGTTGTTTTTGTTTCCGCTTTTATTTTTTCAAGTGACCCGTCTCGCATTGCATTTTCTAAAAAAAAAAATAAAAACACGGAAAAATTATTTTTCGCAAAACTGATCTTGTGATTTTCAGCTTTCGATACCCGTATCTGCCCGAATATCTCAGCATATTTTCACCTTTGTCTCAGCGCATTTTTATAAAACACTGTTCATCTCTATAGGGTACAATGAGGGCCTGAAGCGAGAAGAAGCAGTAGGCGGAGTAGGAGGAAGTGGAAGAGGACAAAAATCAAGAAGGCTTATAAAAGAAATGGCACATGTACGGTGAGTACCAGTAGGGGAGGTATGCAGTTTAGGACTGTAGGATCAAGTACAGCTCACTCCAGTCTATGGGTATATCTCAGTAATTTTTGATAATTCAATCAATTTTGGCGATTTTAAAATAAGATAAAATACCGGGTGAGCGACTATCATCTGCCTTCATCTTCGCCGTTTTATCAGATGGTATCGCAAGTTCACGATGGACGGTAACCGAAGATAACGATCGACGGGTAATACCACCGGAGCGATGAGGCACTACTTGTGTGCCAAGAGACTGCAAGACATCAAAACGGCTCGACGCATCCACGGTTTGATTGCCTGCTAAACCTGAATGTAAAATTACCCATATTTTCGAGAAAACACTTTCTTTTTTCATTTGAAATTTATTCAGCAGGAAAACTGATCATTTCTTAACAAAAGATTATTGTGCGAATCAGCGAGTTTACCGAAGAGAGGGGGTATGCGCCCTCTTACTCGTTCCCGCACACAGTATTTACCATCAAAACTTATCCATAAGTTCAGAGGTTGCAAAAAAGACCTGAATCGAATGAGCAGAAGTTGCTGAAATGGCTTACCATCTTCATCTGCAATTACAACCTGATCATTCCTGGTACTTTTCGCAGTTTTACTCTTCTTGTGGGTTATTTTCTGGAACTCGTTTTCACCAGCTTTCTTTCCAACTCGAGTGCCACCTGCAAAATGTTCGCGTTCAACTGATCTTTCATTTTCCACTTTTTCGGAGTAATTCTTAATTTTTTAGTTCATTCACCAAACAGCAATTTACACTAACCCCCTGCCAACACTGCTTCTATTGGCAAACACAGGCAAAGTTTTGACGAAGTTATGCTAAACACACAACGAAGGTGTTTTAAACAGTTAAAAGCTTGTCCGACGCCTTTGTGTGGGAAACTCCAAAACTTGCAATCTTTCTAGAAGAAAAAACAAACGTCAGGAAAACCACCAGGCTGCTTAACAATCCAAGATCCACCGAAGAAAGCAACTAAAATCGCCAGCTGCAGCGCTCGAGAACAAAGCAACAGCAGATTAAAGCATAAAAAAGCAATTATAAAAGTACTGTGCCAAGAAATGAAACTAAACAAAACTAAATAATATCTCTAATTCATATTAAAACTAGAGTATAGGCGTGAGCCAGGGTAGCAGATGCGATCAT